GAGCAGCCGGGAGCAGGGCTCCCTGCCTGGGGTGGCTCTGGGAGGCTCCCCGCTGCCCTGCTCCTCCGGGCCGGAATGCTGCCCCTGGCAATGTGTCGTCCCAAGCACCTGCTTGTTTTGCTGGTGCCTGGAGCTGGCCCTGCTGAGGATTGTACCTCGCATGTATGACATGGGCCGTGCGGTGCACGAGCGTGGCACGGAGCTGCGCAGGGATTCATGCAAAGGGACCGGCCCAGTCCGATGTGGTTAGCAGCAGCCCTTGGCCAGCCCGCCTGGGCTGGCGTGAGCAGGGCCCCAGAGCACGCGGGACGCGTGGGAGGATGTGCTTTCCTGTCTGTCGTGCACGAAGCTGCTGCTGTTGGTGTCACTGCTGCCTCGGCGCCATGGCCGGGCCTGGCAGGCTCCTCCTCGTTGCCCTGCTCCTGACCTACTGCCTGGACACTGGTCAGAGCAGGGGCTGGGAGCCAGGATCTGGGAGCAGAGTGGGGGCTGGTGGCTTAGACCAAGGGGACTGGGAGCCAGGAGGACTTCTGGGTTCTGTCCTGGTTGTGGGAGGGGAGTGGGGCTGGCGGGTTGGAGCAGGGGGGTTGGGTGTGGGGCATGGGGACCCTAACCCATCTGCTCTCTCCCCCTAGGGACCAGCAAGGCAGAGCTGACACTCTGGGCTGACCACCCCTTGGCTCTGGGGTCCTCCCTGCAGCTGCACTGTGCCTTCTGGGGCCAGGAGCTCATCACGCTGGTGAGCTGGCGGCGCTGGGGCCAGAATGGGAGCCACGAGGAGCTGGCCGTGATACACCCCACACATGGGGCCCATGTGCACCCTGCTCACCAGGGCCAACTGCGGGTCACCAATGTGTCAGAGGCTGGGCAGGTGGGGCTTACAGTGCCCAGCCTGGCCCCCGAGGACAACGGCACCCACTACTGCTGCAAGTTCTCCACCTTCCCCTCGGGCGTGTCGGAGCAGTGCCTGCCAGTCTGGATCACAGAGCCTGGTGCGTGGGGGAGCCCCGAGAAGGGGGGCAGCGGGACAGACAGAGCCATCGGGGCAGGGAGGGCTGGACACTCTCTGACCCCTCTCCTCCTCCACTGCAGCCGCTGATCCCTCCCAGACCCCTCACTCTGCCCTGCGACCTGAGGTGCTGGGGCCCCTGGGCGCTGGGGCCTTCTTCCTGCTGGGCAGCATCGCCGTGCTGGGCCACCTTCTGCAGGAACGGGTGCGGAGGCACAGGTAGGAGTCAAGCCCCCACCTCACTGATCCCAGCAGCCCCACAGGGGCTGGACACACCTGCCTTTGTGGGGGGAGGGGGCTGGGAACCAGGACACCTGGGTTCTCTTCCCAGTTCTGGGAGTGTGGGAATGGTTAGAGCAGGGCTGGGAGCCAGGTCTCGTGGGTTCTCTCCTCACTGTACCCCTCTCTGTCTCTCTAGGAAGCTGGTGCTCCCTCATCCCTACCCGCATGTGGCTAGTCCTCAGGTGAGCCTGCCTCCCTCTTTTGGGGGTGGGATGGGACGGGATGGGGGCCTTATGCACACTGTCCATTGCTAGTCCCTATGTGTGACAGAGCTCCCAGTGACCAGCAGTTGGCCATCGAGGGGAGGGGCAAAATGGGCTTTGCAGCCAGCCCTTCATCGGGTAAAGGGAACCATGGGGCAGAGGAGACTGCAGCCAACTCCCTTGTGGGGCAGAGGAGTTGGTTTCAGCCAGCCCCACACAGTGGCTGTCATGGCTATTAGCCACCCCACTACCATGGGACTGTGGGCCCAGCCCACCAACCCCCACTGGACAACATCAGCCTTGGCGTCATGGAGCAGGAAACTGCATGAGTTTCCACCCCTCACATCTGCCCGTGCCGTGCCCCACCGCCTGGGTCCTTCAAGGCCCCCGTGTGGTGTGGGGTCTGGACTGCAGCCAGAGCCCCTGGGCACAGACCTTGCCCCAGGCAAGTGCAGCCCCAAGACCATTGCATGTTGGGAGCCGTAGTCTCCTTGGACTGCCCCGGGTCAGAACCCTCTAATCCAGGGGTCAGCAACCTATGGCTGGCGAGCCAAATATGGCTCACTGTGGAGCCAAAAATGGCTCACAGCTCAAGTTCAGCCCCCCCTTGGTCTCCCACTCTGGTCCCCTGCAACAGGGAGCCTGCGCCGGCGCGCCAGCCTCATATCTCCCACAAGATTGGAGCCAGTGCCGGCTTTCTGTGCAGCGGGGGGTGGAGAAAGCCCTGAGCCTCACTGCGCGACTGGGGAAGAAACAGAACCACAAATGGCTCCTCGCGTTGCTGCTTCCCTTCCCCCAGCTGGGGGGAACATCAGCGCAGGGGCACGCCGCCTGGAGGCTTTTCCCACTGCTCCTATTGGCCCTGCTCCTGTCCCCTTGCCAGACACCTACTGCCAGTCTGCTCCTGCACCCTACTTCCCACCCAGACCTTGCACCCTCACCCCTCCTCCACCCCAGATCCTGCCCCCTCATCCCTATCCTACTGACTGGCAGCTCTGTCCCACACACTGGAACCCTCAGTTTTGGCCCTACCCCACAGCCTAGGGGGACACAAAATCCACCAAACCCAGAGCTGAGGCCGTGAACCTGCCTGCCCACCCCACGTGGGACTGGAGCACCAGAAGAGTGAAGTGTCTCAGTTGGGGGCCACATCAGTGAGCGTTGGGTGGTTCTAGGAAGGTTTTTTTTGCTTCTCACTTCTCTGGTCCCCAACTGATTTTTTGGTGGGTCAGTGGAAAAGGTTCCCCACCCCTGCTCTAATCCCTCCATGCTGGGAGTTTGCAGCCATCTTTGGAGGAGGGGTGGGCAACTGGATCCCATTGCATCATAGGAATTTGCAGCTGCTGGGGTCCCCATTGCATGCTGGGAGTTTGCAGATTGCGGGGGAGTTGGGCCCCATTGCATGCTGGAAGTTTGCAGCCCTCAGGGGTCCAATTGAATGTTTGCAGTCTCAGCAGGGCCCCAGTTCATGCTGGGAGTATCCAGTCTCCATGGGGCGCAGATGGGCTCCATTGCAACCTAGGCATTTACAGCCCCTAGGGACCCAGTTGCATGCTGGGAATTTGCAGGCTCCATAGGGGCCAGGACTTCTCCTGGGCCTCATGCAGGCATCTGGGGTTTCTGGTGGGGGAAACTCTGCCCTGAGGTGGGAAGAAATGTGGAGCAGAACCCCTTCCCTAACACTCTTCTTGTGTTTGTAGGAGCCCCCCATGGCTCTGTGGGTGCAGCAGGGGCTGCCAGTCCGGCGCACCTCGTTCTCCGCCCCCTACGTCCTCATCAACTTGGACTATTTTACCTCCCAGCCCAGCACCATGGCCCACAGGGGCTGCCTGCCTCCCCCACTGCCTCCCCGGCAGGGCTGGAGACCCTGCAGGCCCATGCCCTGGGTGCTGGGACAGGAGGAGCAGCGCCTGGGCCACTGGCACAAGACCTGATGCTGCCCCCCTTCTCTGGGTGACTTGGAACCCCGCAAAGATTGAAGGCCCATCCCCCTCCTCTGTGAGGACAGGCAGCTTTGGAGCCCCGGTGCCCACGGGGCGCAGCCGGAATCGGTTGTGG